AAAAAAGAATATAAAAGAGAGAACAGAACGAGCAGCTCAACGCAACTTTTTTTCTTCTTCTATACGTTTTTCTTTGTGTTTGCTTTCATTGTGAATAAATATAAAGAACTTACTTAACAACGATTACATAGAATGTTTGGTAGAGGAAAATTAAAGTAATCATTGACTGTTATATTAACATAAAACGACAGAATATGAATGACGTGATAAATTAAAAATACTTCTCCAGATATAGATATTAGACAATAAATTGTTAACGTCAAAAATGATTATACTTTGATATAATCTTATAACCTATAGAATGCATCTTGAATTAAATGACTTATTCAGGCTTCTTTACAAGGAAAAAAAGATTTCTCTGTTTGAATGAAGCATTTGATTACTTTATGGAATATTTCATAATTACATCAATTGTTCTTCATACGTAACATTTTCAGTCTTGATTCAACTAGTATCACAGACGGAAACTACTTGATGCATATTAATCTCGTAACCTGCTATAGAAATATTAACATTTTCCTGTTGTCAAAAATATTCATTAAAAACATTCTCAAGCTTAATAAAAAAAAATTTAAAATTTCACATACTAGTTTCTCAAATATTTACAGCAAATTTAAACAGAAAATTTTTTTTGTTCTTCATCTATTGTCTAGAAAAATAAATATTTATTTTACATGATAGTTTATAAGAAAATACACTGATGAATGAATTTTGTCAAAACAAATTCTATTTATTAATAAGATTATCATACACTGGTTATAAAACTACATAAATGTTAAAACACATATATGATATTAATCAAGTGATATTTCCGCTATGAATCAATTTTTAATGATATGATATCTAATTGAAGAATATTATATTTAGACATTGAAAAATAAAAGTACTGAATACTATTTATAACACATAGATTTGCTTTGTTTTAATAATGAGATAAAAATAGGATTACCAGAACTAATCCATTGATTGTTTGTCTGAGCGTTATCCACTCCATTGAAATAAATACAACTTGGTTTCCAAGCTGGATTAAAAACATATAAAAAGACCATTTTTATATAAACAAACTATAGGATTGTACTAATATGATCCTCACCTTCTTCCATCATTGATAAGTATAATACATTGTATAAATTTGTCTGTTTTATTGAATTTTATATTTGTATATAACATGCATTTATTGAAGGGCTAATACTTTTTTCATTATCTGTATGAATTTCAAAGAATAAATAACCTTTGTCATAGTCATTTTTATCGAAATTTTCAGCGTATGATATTTTAAAATTACTGAATATGAATGTAGTTGAAATCAATGTAATGTTAAAGTGCATCATATTCCATATGTGTTCGATATAAATTGTAAAGAATAACTCGTCTCTCACGTCTTTTATAGGGAAAGATAAACTAATCATAGAACACAAATAACTGCTTTTTTCATAGTTAGTATGTACTGAAATAAAAAATGAAAGATGAATGTGGGTGTGGGTATGAGTAGGGTACTAAAGACTGACGCACACTCACACCCACCCTCAATGATTTCATCAAAAATAAGTGACGTTTTTTATATATTTATTTTGATAATATTCAACAACATTTAACAAAACATATGAGTCAATTATTGGTATTTTTTACTGGTAGATGTTGCCTTTCTACAATGAACTAAACAAAACAGCAATGTAACATATTTTCCAATTTGAAATCTTGTTGATTTTTAAGAAAGAGTCGAATATTCTCAACAAAATTATAGGAAACTGCAAATAATATCGATCAGATGTATTTTCACCTTATTTGAGGATGTAGATGTGGACGCGATGGACAGATCAACATATGTATTGATATAATCTGATTGCCATACGTGTGATTCGCATCTACATCAAAATAACGATTTATAGTGATAAGAAAAAACATTCCTTAGAAGTTAATAAAAATTTGTCGGTAAGATGTCTATATGTTCATATTATCTTGAGAGGTTTGATTATTAAACATTTCTGAACAGATTCAATGACAGAAATCACTTTATCAGATTTGTCGTTAATGCATTTTTTCGTCAGAATCATTCATTTCACTATAGAATAAAAATTATCACTACGATTAAAATTTTTCGAAAAGCAAAAATAACATGAAAATTCAAAGTTTAGGCAATTCTAGTGAGATAAACTTAAAGTTGTTTAATTAAAAAATATTTCTTTTCTTTTCAATTTTGAGATCAATGAAATATTCTATTCATCATTTTTCATATTATATTTTCTATTATATATATCTTTATTTGTATATTAAAATCCATCTTTCTTTATTTTAAAATTATGAAATTGTTTCGATACTTTTTTGTTTTTGTTTTTGATTTCAGAACGATTTTTATATATGTAGATTATTGATATCCTGTTTTTTGATTGTGAACTCTTTTATTTATATCATAAAATCTTGGAGAAAATAGAAAAATATAATGCCTTTCTTATGTCATATATATTTGACTTATTTCAATTTTTATCAAAGAATTCTTCTGAGTAATAAGATTTGATCATCACATATTGTGATTTATAATATCATTACTGACTCTATTCTTAAATGATGAGACATAAACAACAAATCTCTTCATGTCTAAGATTAGAATTATTATTATTCAGTCAATCATCAGTGATTTCTTTTTCGCTATGACAATCACAACAGATATAATCATAATATTCTCTTGAAGTATGGAGATAAATAATCAATTGATATAAAATTTATGGATAAATATTACATTGCCAATATATTTCATGTATAAAATATATTCTCTAGTAGATAATCGAATATCATTAGAATCAGAAGAAGAAAAAAGAAGAAATAATCATTTATCTTGAAGTTGTGTATAATATATTCTAATTAAAAGAAATATTTTTCTTCAACAAAATATTACAAGAAAGTAAAGACGTCATAAACATTGTTGTTAATTTTTCAAATAGCATAGTAACGATGCATTTTTTCCAAGACTAACGCAAATCATTTACCATTGTTTTTTCTAACACAGTTTTCTTCGACGATGCAGTTTTCATTATTCTGATTATAACAGGCAAACATTATTGCGCAGTGTATTTTCTTCTAATGGTTCTTTGGAAAAAAATCAAAATTATCTTGAGATAGTTTTTGTGTTGTGTACAAATTTTATATTATTATAGCATAAAAGTAAAAAAGAATAGACATCACTCAGTTGGACGGGATATATTTCATTCGAAGAAAAATGTCTGATTGTTTATGAAGATAAAGAATTATCGAAGTTACTTTATAATGCGGAAAAGTAGTTTCTCTTAAATGATTTATTTCATAAAGCGTTTCTTATGTTGATATACGGAATTAAATTTAATATAAAGTAGTCTCATATTATTAACAAATGAAGTGATCATTGTTTCTGCATAAAACAACTTTTTAAGATATACGTATTTATGTTTTCCGACTGCACATTAACTACGCACAAAAAAATCATTATTCTTGATGCATGACTTGTTCAAAGTTAACCTCCAGTACACAATCCTGACAAAAAAAAGTCATAACTATTTTTCCATCATGCTGATGAAATTAGAAAAATCATATTTCTAGATGCACTTTTTTCAAAGTGAAGCTCTGATGCACAATCCTGACAAAAAAGTCATAACTATTTTTTCATCATACTGATGAAAAATAAAAATATGTACGATGTGTGACAAGAAAGAGACATAGTCATAATATTGAGGAATGGTTCCAGAATTATCTCACTACTTTAGATCTTACGAATTCAGAGACTCATGAACAAAAGAGAACATATCACAATGATATATAATATATTCAAAACTGTAAAGAATATTTGCATTAATTTTGCTAAATAAAATATACAAGAAAGTAAAGACGTCATAAACGTTACTGTTAATTTCCCTAACGGCATAGTAACCGTGTTTTTCTTCCGACATCAGCGGATATTTGTTATCATCATTATTTTGTAATATACAGTATTCTTCGACGATGTAGTTTCCATTATTCTGATTATAACAGGCAAACATTATTGCGCAGTGTATTTTCTTCTAACGATTCTTTAGAGAAAAAAAATTAAAATTATCTTGAGATAGTTTTTGTATTGTGTACATATTTTATATTATTCCATCATAAAAGTAAAAAAGAATAGACATCATTCAGCTGGACGGGATATATTTCATTCGAAGAAAAATGGCTGATTATTTGTCAAGATGAAGAATTATTGACGTTACTTTACAATACTAAAAAGTAGTTTCTCTTAATTGATTTATTTCACAATGTGTTTCGTATGTTGACATATGCAATTAAATTTAATATCAAGTAGTCTCATGTCATAAGCAAACGAGGTGATCATTGTTTTTGCATAAAACAAGATTTTAAGATATACGTATTTCCGCCTACACGTAAACTATACAAAAGAAAATCATCATTCTAGATGCATGACTTGTTCAAAGTTAACCTTTACTACACAATCCTGACAGAAAAAAAATGCAAACGTTTTTTTCTATCATACTGATGAAATAAAAAGTATCTGTGATGAGTGAGAAAAAGAGAAAAAAAGAGAGAGGTAGTAAAAAAGAAAAAAAGAGAAAGAGAGAGAAACTGAAAAGGTATTTAATGCTATGTCTTCACAATGCATTTCACTTACAGTTAAATTCATTTCCTAACTAACATTCTTGTTAGTTATGGGGTGGAGAAGAAATCTTTTATTGCTTCTGTTTCTTTTTTTTACACAATCAGACACACAAGATATACGATCATTCGATATGTCTGAAATAGCTGGTTGGCAACTTCAATGTTCTAACACAACTTGCTTACCATTTGCCACTATCACTGTGTCGGATACCCGCCAGTGTCATATAGCTTGTTTAGCTCAAGTCTATTGTAAAGCACTTACTTTTCATAAATCATCGTCTAATTGTGAATTATTTGCTGATATATCAAATCAAAATAGCAATCTGGTGGTCAATATGGACACTATTACTATGATTGTTACGGATGGAACACGAATTCCACTCGGTAAGTACAACTACGATTATTTAGGAAAGATATATCGATGAGAAAAAACTCTTCCTTTTTTTTACATTGGTCGCAAAAAAATTGGTAGACATATCAAACAAAACTGCTCAAAGACCTTCCTACTAGTTGTATATCACATATCACGAGCAGTATATTCATAGAGTTAATTTTAGAATAGCACGAACGCTATTATAATTAGAAAGATCAATAAGTCACTTCTTTATAGCCTGGCTTAGTCCTATCTCTTAGAAGTCAATCAACTAGCTAGGGTGAGGGTGGGTATGGGTGGAGCCACGCATCTTTCTGAATTTTCACACTCATATTGAGGGTGTGGGTATGTAAATTGAATAACAGCCACAGCCACGCTCACACCTACACAGCCAATGACATTTGTCTAAAATAGGACCGACTACGACATCAACAACAACATCATCGTCGACTTCATCATCAACATCATCCACATCGGCAACAACATCAACAACAACATCAACCACTTCATCATCAACATCATCCACATCGGCAACTTCAACAACAACATCATCATCATCTACATCATCCGCGTCATCAACAACATCAACAACAACAACCACTACTTCATCATCAACATCAACGTCATCGTCAACATCATCCACATCGTTATCGACATCAACAACAACAGCAACTACTACTACTACTTCATCATCAACATCGTCAACGACATCATCAACATCATCAACATCATCAACATCGTCAACGTTATCATCAACATCATCAACATCGTCAACATCGTCAACGTCATCATCAACATCATCCACATCGTCAACAACAACATCAACCACATCATCATCGTCAACATCATCATCCACATCATCAACATCATCAACAACAACATCAACTACATCATCAACAACAACTTCAAAAACATCCACCACATCATCAACAACAACTTCAACAACAACAACAACATCATCAACAACAACTTCAACAACAACAACAACAACAACAACAACAACAACAACAACATCATCAACAACTACTTCAACAACAACAACAACATCATCAACAACAACAACAACAACATCATCAACAACAACAACAACAGCAGCAGCAATACAGCGTCAGTACTGTGTTAAATTATTTGTAGTCACTCAAAGGATGATTAATAGAAGTGACGATATTTGAAAGTTTTGAATTTAGCTATTGAATGATCGTCATCTAAATAGACAGTATTAGAGAACATTTTCTATTAGAAACCGAAATACGGCTAGTTTTTGATAATTTGATTCGATCTACATTCATTTGAGTATTGAATATTCTTGTCCTGTTCAACAATATCAAACGAAAATAGTTTTGATAGAAAGATTTTCATACGATAGAACTCATTGATCATTTTAATAATCACTCACATCCACCTACTCTCAAGATATAATCGGAGAAGAATTCTTTGCGTTGAATTATTAATTGACATAATAGCGATATAAGCCATGTCTATCAACACTTAATCTCATGTTTTAGGTCGCATTTGTATAGAGTTGAGTAATTAAAAAACATATCGTAAAAGTATAAAATACAAACTTCTAACTCGAGAAAAAGCATCTTATCTTAATCATGAAAACAAAGAGAAGTTTATTAAAGAGTTGAAATCATTTAATCTGTCATCAATAGATAGACAACTTTTGCACATGAGAGATTTGAAGACATTTTAAGACTAACGTTGTTTTCATTTTCTGCCTTATTTAGAATGGATAATGACAGGAATCATGAATGTTCCACGAAGATATCATACAGCATCCACATTAGCAAATGGATCCGTATTAGTTGCTGGTGGATCCAACGGTACTAATCTCATTAGTACTGAATTATACAATCCATTAACCGGCACTTGGACAATCACAGGAAGCATCAATGTCCCACGATTGTATCACACAGCGACCACATTAAAAAATGGATCAGTATTAGTTGCTGGTGGATATAACAACTCTGCTACTTTTACTAGCGCTGAGTTGTACAATCCATCAACAGGCACTTGGACAATTACAGGAAGCATGAGTGTCGCACGAGAGAGTCACACAGCATCCATATTAGCAAATGGATCAGTATTAGTTGCTGGTGGAGTCAACAGTGCTTATCTCACTAGTACTGAACTGTACAATCCATTGGCAGGTACTTGGACAACCACAGGAGATATGAATACCGCACGATGCAATCACATAGCATCGACATTAGCAGATGGATCAATATTAGTTGCTGGTGGATTCAACAGCGGTGTTTATCTCAACAGTGCTGAATTGTTCAATCCATCAACAGGCACTTGGACAACCACAGGAAGTATGAACGTCGCACGAGCAAGTCACACAGCATCCGTATTAGCAAATGGATCAGTATTAATTGCTGGTGGATCCAACGGTAGTAATAGTTATTTCAATAGTGCTGAATTGTACAATCCATCAACGGGTGCTTGGACAACTACAGGAAGCATGATTATTGCACGAGAATATCACATAGCAGTCACATTAGCAAATGGATCAATATTAATTACTGGTGGAATGGGCAGCACTGGTATTCTCAATATTGCAGAACTATACAATCCATCAACGGGTGCTTGGACAACTACAGGAAACATGAGCATCGCACGATATATTCACACAGCATCTACATTAGCAGATGGAAAAGTATTAGTTGCTGGTGGATACAGCGGCGGTTCTGGTTCTCTCAATAGTGCTGAGCTTTATCAATCGATATAGACAACATGGAATTTTCTTTTTTGAACTGAATTATAATTTTTTTTATATATAACCAAACTATTTAATCATTCACATTTCTTAATAAATTATCACGCACCAAATAATATATGAGTTGGAGTAATTTCGAAGTGATGTAGTATGGCGGTTGTTGAAAAAGAGTCATAATTGATAAAAGACAGATCATTATTTGTACAGGTGAGTGGATTTAAATACAGTTGTGAAGAATATTAATTATTCCTTGTTACTAACTACATATATTCTGATGAGAGTGAGTTCACATCTGATGATAACGTATGAATAATCGTTCTCAAGTAAATATCAGAAATGAATAATTTAATAATATGTTCAAACAAATCAATTTTTTCCAATAAAATTCTTTTTTGTCAAATAGTTTGATCATTTTGATTATTGTATTTTATAAAGTGGATATATTTTACGATCATAGCGTAATAAAATGGATGGTAATTTTGACAAAGTACAAATCGAATGTCCATGTCAAAGAAAAAAGGCATATTATGAAAAAACGAATACCTATTTCCGACTAAATCAATGAAAACGGAAACAAAATTTATATTATTGAAAGTAAAAAGAGACAAGTGAGAGTGTGAATCAGTATTCTATTCACTCTGGGTGTACACTTATAATTATGCGTCCGCAGTGAAATTAATTTCAACCAATCATACATTTATCTCAAGTAAATTGATATTACAGGTGACAAAGTAAAAAGGATAAGTGTGAGTGTTGGACTACCTTCATATGTATATCCACACCCACACCCATCGACTAGCGTTACTTGTAGATAAAATAATTTTCGGAACTAGCTATATATAATTTTATAGGGAATTTTAAGTCCTATCTTTCGATAAAAAAAAGTATTTTAATCTAAAGGAACAGTAGAGAACAAATCTCAGAAATAATATAGCAGCACAATTTTTTATGCATTAATTACTCGTTATATATTTTATTTGAAAAACTATCTCGAGATGCATAATAGTACAGAGTCCTTTGTTTGAAATTAAACTTAATTATTAGTATGATCCAACAGCTTATAAAATTTTTTTAAAACTTTCTTTTAACTATTGAACTTGCGAACTGTTTTTTAAATATAAAGGATTCTATGTTATACTGTATCGTAATATAATCGTATCACCCAAAAACAAAACAGAAATCATTGAATAAATGTGAATATCTCTGCCGGATGTCATATTTGAAAACCTGAAATCTCAGACTATTTGAATGTATTAAATGTGATATCGATTTGTTTGAGAAAAGTGATCTGCGTACTACAGACAAGGAAAAGAAGCAGTATGATGTTTAATATTATATTCAAGATTTTTTAATCAAACACTAATAGTTGTTGTATAGAATGGCAAACTAGATATTTTCATTATATATTTTATTACTATTATCATTCATTGATTTGTTAGTAACAGATAAGTTTATTAGAAACAAACAGAATATTTATATATATATATATATATTGTTGTGCTATTTTTCTCTCTCTTGTCAGAAACGTGACTGCAGAACGAACACTTTTCGATTATCCATAAAAATATAACGGTTATAACTTATTTTCACTTTATTCTTGTTTTCTATTTTCTTCCTGTCGATTATTCTAATAACAATTTAAAAGTATTTTTCGCAAAAAGATCAAAGAAAAAACCAAATTTATGTCTATTATTTCGACAGAATTATTTGTTGATGGTATTTGTGAATTAGATGATAAAATAATTCAAAGTTATTTTAAACAATTTGGTTCTCGTATAACTAATTATGAATCTCATCGTAAACGTTTAACAGATTCCTGTTGTTTTGCTTTAATATCATTTACAGCACATCATTCTGTCAATACTATTCTTCGTCGACGACCACATATAATTAATTCTTCTACAATATTTGTTAAACGATTACTTCCATCTAGTGTATGTTCGTTTATTGAACGTCAATTACCTGTAACAAGTTTATTTGTTTATAATAAAATAAGTAAACAATTGAATGAAAGAAATTTAAGAAATTTTTTCAAAACATTTGGTCATATATTAAAATTTGAACGTGATTATATTCATGATCGTTTATTTATTGAATATGATGATTATGATTCTGTTGATAAAGTATTTTTAAATAAAGATCAATTACCAGATTATATTGATATATATAAAAATATTTTACCACAAACCCAAAATACAGCTGAATATCGTGGTAAATGTCGTCTTAAACAACATACTCCGAAGAAAACAAATGAATGTTATCAAGGTTTATTACAAAAGACTATTGAAGATTTAGGAAATTGTAAAGCTCAATTAAAAAAAATAGAAAATGATTATAATATTCTTCAAATAGGTATTATTATTCTATTGAATTTTATTAAAATATAATTTTTATTTTCTTTATTAAAAAAAAAAGAACATACAACATTAAAAGAAAAATATGATAAATTAGATCAACTATTCAACAATCAAAATCTATGTCGATCATGTAATGAACATGAAGTAACCATTATGAAATTACAACAAACATTATCAAAACTCAATAAACAATACGAAACAACTAAATCACAATATCAACGATTATTATCAACAAAATCTAGTACGTATGATTACAATTGAATATAATTCAATGATAAAATATATTTAATATTTAGAAATTGATATTTTAACACAACATAATCATTATTTATTATCAACACGATTGAAGAATGATGAGTATTACAAAAGTGAAGGTTTATTTTATTAGTAATTTGAAACTTGAAAGTTTATTTTTCTTTTGCTTTCATAGTATCAGAATATTATGCATCACAATCGAATTTATCAACAGCTAATTCTTGTGATATAAATATATTTCATTATTTATCTGATTACTATTTTATGCTTTTTTTTATAGCTTTAAAACAACGACGTCGAATAACATACAAGTATAACATCGTAAAAAGTGATGAAGATTAAACTGTTATATCCGATTTTCGTTTTTTTTTGTAGTTGACATTTTTGTTTTGAAAAAAAAGAGACTTTGCATGAATATTTACTTGTTGATTTTTTTATTAGCAAACCCAAAAAAAGCTATAATCATCTTAAAAAATCAGTAGTGAATGTTAATTTGTTGATTCATTCAAAAATCTATCTTTTCTTTTGTGCTAATTTGATTAATGTTCCACAATGAGGACATTCAAGTTGACTTGGTTCATACGTAACAGGTACTGATGTTGCTTGCCATGTTTGTACTGGTGTTGGTTTAATAGGTTGACGAATAGCTTGCGGTGGTAATTGAGAATTTTCAATTAATACACGATTATTTCCACGTTTACTTCCCATACTAGCCAAAATAAAAAGAAGCATATATAAAATAGCTGTTGCTAATAATGCAGCAGCCATTGCCATTTGAGCTTTTAAAACTTGAACTTTTCTTCCAAGTGGTATACCCGATGGTCGAGTATTCGATGATCTTATATCATTACAAATTGTATTTGTAAAAAAACATTTAGTAATATTTCCAATAAATAAAGCATCCAAAACGATCAAAGTTATAGCAGCAGCAGCACATAGTATTGAAACAAAAAATACATATAATGCACATTTACGTGAACGATGGCAACAAACTATATATTAGAAAAAAATAAAATAATTAATTGATAGAATCTGAATACTTTTCTAAATACCTAAAGTAAACATAGCTATCCATGAAAAAGTGAATATAAGTGATAGCCAAAAACCAGCATAAAGTGTTCCTTGACTTGGTGATATAATTACAGATGCTATTTCAAGACCAACAATAGCAAATGTTAAAATCATTTGTAAAAATCCAATTATAATTGGTATTACAATAGAAAATTTTGAACGCCATTGAATTTCTCTATCGAATTCTGATGAATACAAATATGTTGGTTGCATTTCTTTTATTAAATCGACAAGTAAAATATGATTTTTGATATCAAACTACACACAAAATTTCTCTTTTGTGTCTTATACCAATACATTAATATATCAAATTTCTGTGTGAGCGTTTAAGTATGATATTCGAGATGTTCTTTCACTTTTTTTTGTATTTGACAATCAAACAAAAAGAAATCTCTTAAATTTGCTTTGAATAGAAATCATCAATTTATCAATGAGGAAAATATTTTTTACGAACTTAATTAATTAATTAATATCTTAGTTATATTTAGTATTGGGCCGAAAAATAAGAAAAAAGGACAAAATTTCAGTGCATGATTTTTATACATTCTAGGAAGACGACTAACGAGCAATAAAAAATTGTGTATACGTTGTCATAGGTAAATGACGCAGTGATGCGTTGCTTTCCACCATTTGATATATAAAAACGATTGAATGATACTCACGTGTAGTAATGTGTATGTGTTCACCTTGAATAACTCTTTGTTTATTTTGTTTCAGTACATATTCTTATGAATAAATAAACAAGGTAAGTTTATATTCACATATATTTTCTATTAAAAAATCGATTGATTCCTAAATATTTATCTGTAAATCATTAATAATTTAAACTACTTCCTATATTATTATAAAATATTTCTTTTATATAGATTTTATCATTTAAACAATTGATTAAAGATTAAAATATAATGGGAAATCTTAATTCATTTCGTAGTACAACAATGAAAGAAAAAACTGATCAATATACTAATTATTCAAATCAACAAGTTCAAAGAATGACTTCTCTCGATTATCTTAAAATAACTGCTATTATTATATTACTGATTGGTAGTGTAATACTACAGCAATACCAACCATCATCAGCAACAACAACAACAACAACAGAAGTAATTTTATCTCACAATAAAAATACTGGAAATTTAACTGGTAATCTAAAAAATACTGGAAATCAAGACGCGAATGATAATCCAAATGGATTTCATCCATTTTATCAAGTTCATGGACGTATTCAATTTAAAAATCCTCCTAAATTTAATCCATGTCATGAAATTGATCCAAGTAAAACTTTATTATTAGCAATATTATCACGTGCGAGTAATGCTCATATACGTGAAGCTATTCGACAAACTTGGGGTGCTCATAAAACTTATAATAATATTGATATACGTACTACATTTATAGTTGCTGTAGATGATACAATGATACAACAAATTGAATTAGAACAAGCTATTTATCATGGTAAGTTGAATATAATTCAAAAGAAAGTTTTTTTTATTGTTATATTTTATTAGATGTCATACAAGTTAATTTACCAGAAAATTATGCTGTTGTATCTTATAAAGAATTAGCTGCATTATGTTGGAGTCGATATTTTTGTTCGGATATAAAATATATATTTAAAGCTGATGAAGATATTCATTTAAATACACCATTATTAACTAGTCTTGTTAATGGATTTATGAAAAATGAATCTTTAGCAGATATTCCAATGATATTTGGTTGGTTTAGATATAAATCACGTGTTGATCGTACTGGACGTTATCTTGTTACAGAAGAAGAATATCCTGGATTTTATTATCCACCATTTACATTTGGAATTGGATATTTATTAACAAAAACAGGACGAGATAATTTATGTGTTAGTGCACTACGTCCACATCCAGTTACACGTGTTGGTGATGCTTATATTACGGGTATACTTCGTGATCATGCTATGGTTCGTTATGCACGTTTTGGTGATGTACATTTTATTTATTCATACACACTGAATGGTCCACGTTGTCAAGAATATTTTATACATGATCCTAAATTACTTATATGTATGTCAAGTCTACATTCAGGTACGAGTGATACCGCTGATGAATATGTTAATGTATGGAATGCTATACATGAAGATAATAATGATGGCTTAGATGATCAAGAGTAAATAAACATGTGTGTTGTTTTTCTTTTTTTTTATAAAAATCGAATATTTAAATAAAATGTCTGTTATTTAATTAATTCTATATAAAACTATGATCTACTTGTAAATATTATATAGTAATGAATTATTATTAGCTTTATTAAAATAAATAAAATAACTCAGAAATCTAAAACGAGTGTTAAAGTATTCAGATATTAAATCGAGGTTTTGCTACTAATTACTAAATATCTAGCGTCTATTATTATTATTAGTAAATTGATATGTAATTTTTGTCGATTAGATATTCTGTATAAAGTATTGTAAACTTTTTACCACTTCCTAGACAAAACATTATCTATACATCCGTTAATGTCTAATCGTATCTGTGCTTTTTATGATAGTAAACATTCCAAAAGAAGAAACCTATTAAGTCAATACCGAATTGTATATCGGTATAATATTTATTTATGTCAATAAACATAAATAAAACAATATTATTCTTCTTCTTGTAAAACAAGTTTCGATCGTTCTGAAACAAATGGTACGGAACCAGGTTTGCTATTTGCACGTGCATTAGCTTCATGACGTTTTTGACTTTCATTGATCGTTTTATGTTCACGTTTAGCATGATAAACATGTTTTGGTAAGTGACGTTGTGTTGCAATACGTTTGATTTTTGGAAAATGAGCAAATTTTTCTTTTAATGCATCATTATATTCAAGTGTTTCGGCTTCACGATTTCGTGTCTAAAAAAGAATAATTTCATTTTCAAATAAAACCCGAAAAGACAAAAAAGAAAACAAATAAACTTACCACACCAAGTTTTTCACTTGCTTTCGCTTTCCATAATCTTAAACACATTTCATCCGAACCTGATATAACATATTTATTATCTGATGTCCATTGAACACAACTGATATGTTGCATACGTTTCGTATGATAGACATCTCTAAAATTAAGAAAAATTAGAATAATAAAAAAAACAAATAATTATAATTTTGTACAAACCTGCTATGTCCTTTATCAGCAGGAAATATTCGAATAGTTTTATCAAAACTACCACTAACAAATTCTTTGCCTGTTGGAGAATAATCAACATCAATAACAGCTGCTACATGATCTTTATGAATATTAAATGGACGCTGTAGATAACGAACATCAAAACTGTACAAACTACAAAAAAAAAATCATACAGAAATAAAAAATTCATAATATTGAACAAGATAATAAAAAAAACGTACTTGTAATCTTCATTAGCTGTTGTAAATACGAATGCTTCAAGTGGATTCCATGCAAGTGTACTTGAATTCATTTGAAGTGTAATCTAATCAAAATTAAATTATTTATTAATTAAAATTATTGCTTTTAACATTAATTACTTTTCGTAATGGTACTGATTGTCTTGTATCATAAAGAACTATACTTCGATCAGTAGCACAACTAGCAAGAACAGTTGTCTAAAATCAAATAAAAGTTCGATTAATGTTTAAAATATATAAGAATATTATTGAATTTACTTCAATTGGATTAAATTTCACTCTAGCATGACTATCTGCACCCCATTTGAATGATTGAAGAGGTTGTGCACGTTGTTCATCCCATAATGATACAGTTTCACCACTAGTAGCATATTGACCACTTTTATAATGATGATCAATAGATGTAAACACATGCTAAAAATCAAATTTTTTCTTATATTTTTTATCTAAATTTCTAGTTTTCTAATATTACTTTTCCGACGATTGTCATTGTAGGTGTTTCATAATTAGCCATTGACCATCGTTTTATTAATTTATCATTTCCAACTGAATAGAATGCATCACCATCAGGTACAACACAAATTCCTCTAACAAATCCATTATGTGCTGGTATTGTTTCTTGACATACTCTTTGAGCAACATTCCATACTTTAATCTAAATACAAGAATAATTAAATCTTTTTTTTCTTTATCGTCGTCATTTACTTCTCCATCACATGAACCGGATAGAAGTAATGAAAGTTGTGTTGAATGTTTTGTTAAACATTGTACACTATCACGATGTCCATCCAAACTACAGATAAATGGTCGAGCAAATATTCGTTCGACTTTAACAGCATTCATTGCACGAGTATATTCCCGTGCAACTTCAAATGGATGTAGATCTGGATCATAATTTCGTTGAACTGGTACTATATCTTTTTTTGTTTCACGGACATATTCCGCTGGATTCCGACATAACATTTTAACTTTCATTTTATCTAAAACAACAAAGATTATCGAGATATTATTTTAGAAAATATATAAAGATTTGTAACTTGATTGATTAAAGCGTATATGTATATGAGTCATTCAGTCATTTTAACCGTTAGTATAAGAACGAATCAGTATTGAATACAAATAGCGACATATTGTTTATTGATATTTGTTTTGAAAAATAATTTAATAAAATATTTCAAAAGAAAATTTTTAAAATAAAAAATAAATAATAAAAAATTTTCTATTATTTATTTAATTTGTTTTGATGAGATTTAAATGTTATTTGATTTGGTTAACTATGGACATCATATCGACTTGTTTATTATTTAGTTGTCCATTTTTTTATTTGACTATGGTTTGAAAATAGACTTGTTTTTAAATTTCTATTGTAGATTTTCCATTCATCTCATTATTTACAGCTTCACCATGCCTAAAGAAATTAAAGATATCAAAAATTTCTTAAATATTGCTCGACGAAAAGATGCTAAATCAGTTACAATTAAACGTAATCCAGATCGTGCTACACGACAAGGCAATACTAAATTCAAAGTTCGATGCAGTCGCTACTTATATACATGTATGTTCCCTCATTGATTTTGATTAATTTGAAAACTCTTTTTTTTTGTTCTAGTAATTTTGGCTGATAAAGAAAAAGCTGAAAAGCTTAAACAATCATTACCACCTGGTCTTAATGTAAAAGAAATTAAACCAAAAGGCAAAAGCTCATAATTTATGAGATATGAAGCAACAACGCCGAAGAAAATAAAAAGAAGAAAATTTGTTTTTTTTTGTTCCACCATTGTTTTTTCGCGAAATTTGTTCGAATTTAAAAAGAAAACTTATTTGAATAAAATCGCACAACAAAAAAAAAGAATAGAATGATTGTTATTTCTTTTGTAATTTACATATTAATAACACTCTTCTAGATGAATTTATCAATTAATTTCCTAGTCATATGTATATGTGCAATCGTATTAGCACCTCAAAAAGTCAACAGTTTATTTGAAGATCAAGTAGGCAAATTTGATTGGTGAGTAAATGTCTTCCCTTTTTCTTGAGGAAATATAACAGCCAGATTAAAGATAATCATGCATATTTTTTCCTTACGAAGCAAAGAAAAAAGATATCTCAGATATAAAAAGAATTCAATGTTTTTCTTTTTTTTTCTATTTATAGCAAAAGATTGTTCATTAATCGGTCTATTTCTTCGTTTTGCTAATATCACAATAATATAGGAGAGAAAGAAAAAGTCGGAAATAGATTAGAATAGAATTCTAAGCTTTTGAATATTTGATGTGTCGTAACAGAATCGAAGTTGACGAAGGATAGTGAAAGTTCAATGAAGCAAACAAAAGAGAGAATAGCTTGCTATTAATGACGGATTTAGAGTATTTCTTTTTTTTTTGATATCCGATGTATAAAAATTCTTTCTTTTTTTCTAATAAAAGTATCGAAATAGTATTATTATTGATATTAATTTTTAATCTCGAACTTACTGAAAAAGCTATTGTAGTATGAAATTGATTGAAAAAAAACTATCCATAGGGAACAGTATTTTTTTTAATCGTTATAATGACGTAAAAGAATTCAATACTATCAAAATCCTTATAGACTTAGTGCAAATATGTTTTTGTTTAATTTATTTTCTATTTGTGTTTAAGGCAACGTCAACATGTTGGTCTCATAGATGATTCTCATCAACCATCCAGTAGTACCAATCGTATCATTGTTGCCAGTCATGAAAATGTTATTGCTTCACTCGATTTATCTTCACGTAAACTTGGTAATTATATCTATTACTTTTATTTTATTTTATGAATGAAAATAACGAAACATAGAAAAGCAGTTTACAATTAAAACAGAAAGTATTATTTATTGTTGATAAGCACCACTACCATAGGGTAAACAACATGGGTTCATCCCCATACCAGAGTACTGAGGTTGTTGATTTTGTTGAAACATCATTGGCGAACCAGCCATTTGACGTTGTTGTTGTTGTTGATTTTGTTGAAACATCACTGGTGAACCGGCCATTTGACGTTGTTGATTTTGTTGAAACATTAGTGGTGAACCAGCCATTTGACGTTGTTGTTGAAACATTTGTGGTGAACCGACCGCTTGACGGTCTTGTTGAATCCAGCGTTGAGTATAAGTAACTGAATTTTCAACCATAACAGGACTTGGAGGAGGTGATGGCACTGGTACTGGGACAGGTATATAGCACGGTACTGGTGTAGGAACAGGTACAGGAACTTGAACCGGTGGTGAGGGAACTGCTACTGGATAAGGTACAGGTCGATCAACAGGATAAGGTTGAGGTACAGGAACACGAACAGGTCGATCAACAGGATATGGTTGAGGTACTTTAACAGCATATGGTTGAGGTACAGGACGATCGACAGGATAAGGCACACGAACTTCCTGACGGATAATTCGTGGTTTTGGAGCAGGGACTAATTCAAGTTGTCGTCGTTCGGCAATGTAGTAATCTGGAGCATAACCTACGTTACCAGCACCATTACCCAATTGTCCGCCTCCTGACATACCACCGAATTGTCCGCCTCCTGACATACCACCGAATTGTCCACCTCCTGACATACCACCGTATTGCCCATCTCCTGACATACCGCCGAATTGTTGAGCCCCTGATGCTCCTTGATAACCGTAAGCTAATGGAGCACCTATTCCAGTTCCATACGGAGGTCGATTCAAACGATCTATCGGAGTTTGTCGATAATTATTGAAACTGCTACTACCAGAAGGACTAGCAGCTAGATTGTCTGAGGAAAATTTATTTAATTTCCTTGATGCATAATCACTTTTAGCAGGTTTTTTATCTAGTGGTCGCCGAAATGCAGATCCAGAGCCAGAAAACGCCTCATGTTGCTCATATGATTCATAAGTTGGATGTTCATCATCATTTCCAGTAGATAAACGTCGTTCCAAATGATTACCAAGTCGTGTTAATGCGTTGACTGTTTTGTTTACGACTTTTTCCATTGATGTATTTTGTGTCTTGTGATTATTACTTGTTTAATATCAATGACACTAATAGCTAGTTATATATACGATAGAGAGAGAAAAAATCGGTGAATAAGCCATGAATAAATAAAGGTAATAGTAGGCGCAAAGAGAGTACAGGTAGACATTGATGCGTGACGAAATAATTAATATTACTCATTTTGTTAATATGCATATGGATATTATGTTCTAGGCTGGCGAAAAGTTTTTGAAACAAATGAATATGGAAAAATTGATCGAATTATATGGTATGATCAAGAAAGTGTTATTATTTCTGGACAAGGAAGACGTGCACGTTCATTAAGATATGCTGATGGTTTAGAAGTATGGCAACTAGCAGCAACAACAACAAATACCAATTCAAATCAAGATACTGTTGCAAAACATTGTCAAGTAATTAAAAACCGATATGATCCAGGTGAGCTGTTGTCACTCATGATTCATTTTTACGATAAGATTTGTTATTAGTATAGTCATCCTTGCTAATTTGCTATTTGAAGGTTAGCTAGTCAATTCTTTAAATGAGTATTAATAAAATTTATATGTAGTAAGTTATTCATACAAGTAAACAAAATTAGTATGCTTTTAATGAAATATTTCAAAATAATTAGTTTTGAAAAGATGACAATCTACTTTTTTTTCTCTTTGCCCTACCGGAAAATCCTGTCCATGTCCGTAAATATATTACATGACATATTTTATCCACCCACGAGCGAAGTCATGACTATATCTTAGAATAATGAACTTAAGAGAAAAAAAACTTGTTAATTTTAAATCTTAACGACATGATTTTTAGGTACAATTCATATTCTAAGTGATGATCTACTCTGGAGTGTTTCATCTTATGGTGAAATGCTTTGGTCAATCGAAATTCCAATAAAGTATATATTTTATATCCATCTTTGTCTAAATTTAATTTACCTGTTTTTCTTTTTTTTCAAAGATCAACTTTAAAAAATCTTTTTCTTCTATCTACATCGCAATATGTTATTGTTGGAAGTCTTGATTCAAATTCAAATCAACTTCAAGTAACTTATTATTCAAAACAAGATGGTCAACAAGCATTTTCTTCATCATTACCATGGTCATTTAATGCTAAAGATAGTCTAAAGTAAAATATTTTTCTCTTTTCTTAATAATTCATTATCAATGTTTGTTTTTAAATAGTAAATGCTCAACAATGAATAATCTTATTTTATGCTCAAATAACGAAGAACTTTCAATAATTACTATTCCAACAACAACTGATGATACAAATGTAAAAACTCGTCACATAAAAGCTTCTAGCAAAATCGAACAAATACGTATTTTATATGAAAGTACTACACGTAGTGTTATATTAATAAAATCTGATAATGGTGAAACAAAAATTTATCAATTTAATAAAAAAGAATCAACATCAGAATGGGATTTTAATGAATTAAATATTCAAATGAAATCAAATAGTTTTATTAGTATTGCAACAGATAAAAATCTTGCTGGACAACAAATTCTTGAAGCATCAGCAAATGATCAGAAACTTAATTTTCATGTTTCAACTATTAATGAACAAACTTTAACAAATACACGTTCATATTCAGTTGAACTTCCAGAAAATATGGGTGAAATTGAATATCTTGCATATTCAGTTGTTAAAAATACTCAATTAGTTACACTTCGTATGCAAGATGGTTCTTTACTTGTTATTAAATTAGCTGATAATGGAGGTATGAATCAGTGATCTATTCACAAAAAAATCGAGCGTAATCCATATAATTTCATCTAACAGAAAACGAAGATCAGGATAGATAATGCATTTCTTTAATGGAATTTTATAGTTAATCGAAAAACCCACTCAGAAGATGAAATATTTAGTAAACAATAAAGTATTGTTTTCTTTTGTATATTATATATGACAACTAGTGACCCATGAGACAAACCATTTCATGTTCTGTATAGTGTCATTAACTATAACAAAAATATCTAGACATTATTTTATTAATAAATAATACAGTTTTTTTTCTGTATAATAATCATAGAAATAAATTAGTTATTTTCTCATAAATATTTTTGTCAATTACCAACAAAAAAGAAATTTAGATTAGAATAAATTAAGTTCATGAAATATTCGAAAGATTTATCTGTTCATCGCTAACATTTAGCATGAGGAAAAAGAATGTCAAATATAATTACTGTTTACATATATACACACTTACGCCCATACCAAGATTGATATCCATAGTATGTTAATTAAATAAGATGATCTGTGTTAACAATAACAGAACTGACAAACAGAAATAGATTCTCGTAATAAAAAAAATATTTTTTATTTTAGCTGAACTTATTTTACATCGTGATGAAGCATTATCTTCTATTATATCTGTTGAAACATTTGATTTATCATTATCAATTACACAAATGCGTATTGAAGAAGAATTCGGTGGTACAGGAATGTTTAGTATGTTTACAAAACGAATTTCATCTCAAGTATCACAATTAATTGTAAATTATAACAAAAAAGTTCTTAAATAATAATAATAATATTTTCATGTCTAGAGTTTTTTTTTACGTTTATTGGATTTATTTACACATGGAAATCGAAATCGTGATTATTTAGATAAACAAGCAGCACTTGTTCGTGATGAATTTAATTTAAATAAAATTCTTATTGTTGTTACTTCTGTAGGAAAGGTAAGAAATTTATTTTATAACAAAAAAGAAAAAGACTTCTTTATTTTGAAAGGTTTTTGGTATTTTAACACAAAGTGGCGGAATTTTATGGAAGAATTTTTTTCCGAATTTTGCTCCATTCGAACATTTTAATGCAGTGCATGTGCCTTTATTTCATATTCGTTCAGCAGCTCATTATACACATGAACCATTAGCATCAATTGTTTATCGTGACCGCGTAAATGAAATAAGGCAAAATTTTTAATTAAATAATAAATGTTTCTAAATTTAGAATTCTTTACACGACACTCATATCCGAACATTTAATCCCTACACAGGAGATTTAGAAAATAATTTAACTACATCATCATTACCATATCACGTAAAACGTGTTTTTCTTTCAACACAAGCTGTTGATGAATTCTGTAAAGTATTATTATTCGTCGATACAAATAATAAAGTTTGTTTATTCAAAAAAAATATTATTTTTCTAATTCTCTTTTATCTACAGATTCATACATATCCATCAGTACCACTTTCACGAGCATTAAGTACAACAATTCCAACTTATATTTATCTTTTTGATAAAAGTGAACAAGCATTTGTTGGTTATTATTTATCTATAGATGAAAATGATCAAAAAACTGTAAGTAAAACATTTAGTTCAGTGTCATTGTCTTTGATTAGTATTTGAAAGAATCACGGATCGAATCTAGTTAAGAGAAAATGTTCGATGATGTGAATTTGACGATTCTGATATCCACTGAAGACAACCCTTACATTTGCACGTAACCGTAACTGAGAACATTTTTATTTTATATTTTCTAGTCAACAAATTTAAAAGAAGTCTGGCGTGTTTCATTTCAAAATGAAGAAGTTATTAATATTCATACACGACTAAGTTCAGGTATATAGATGAATAATTTTTAAAATAATAAAAGTAATTCGAAAAAATTTTTTTTTGTTTGTTTTATAGATCGTGTTCATTCAGCTGGTATTGTTCTTGGTGATCGTAGTGTTCTTTATAAATATACAAATCCAAATCTCATTGCTGTTGTTACTGAAGGAATTGATTATCAAAAAGGTAAAAAGAAAAAAAACCTAGTGATTACGAATATATACATATGAATGAATATTTTATTGATCATTCTTTATATTTATAGAAATCTCATTTAATGTCAGTATTATTCTATTATGAGTAATAAACATTTATTTTTAATCGTATAAGATACAATCATTGAAACTTATTTTTCAGTAAATCCCTTTGGCATATTCAACTAAATCTCTCACAATCCTTCAATACTTGCGCGCGCGCGCGCATACATAGTAGAATTGTGGGCGCGCTGAAATATTGATACATTACATTGCGTGTATATATGTCTACATTGTAGGTTGTGTTGAAATATTAGTGTAGATAATAAATTTTGGAAGAAAAAAAAATTAGTTTCGAAGCTTGTCTTTGTAAGTACTAATAACTTCTATAATGTAAGCTACATATGCTCTATTATGCACGTACAGAATGAATAAAATTGATGTTATGTGTATTACATTATGATAAATAAGCTTGGGAGATGTATAAATCGACGAGAGAAAAACGAGACTTACTGTAGACGAAAAACAATTTAGACAATAGGGATAGTATATAAGATACAATATATTATCATTTTTTGGTGTTAATTGATAGAACTATTAAGCAAGGAGGTCAGTATATGTTAATTTCCCATTAAATTAAAAATAAAAGAGTAATAAATTGTCAGGAACAAGAAAAGGTGATTGGCCTTGAGCAATAAAAAATAATTTTAGTATATAGAATAGAAATTATCAATCTCCGAATAATGAATATTCTCTTGTAAAATAAGTAATTTTAATCGGCTTCGATAGTTTTATCAAAAATAACTATGAAAATATATACTACTAATCAGAAAATTTCAAATCTAGTTTAATAGCTCAGTCTCTCTTTCTCGTCCGTTTTAAGTATATATATAGTTTTTAATTGATTTCACTCGGTAAAAGAAAAAATATGAATATATATTAATTTTTATTTCCTACTTATATCTATACGATTGAAAATAAAAAAAAGAATTATAATAGTCGACATATTTTTTTATAACTTATTAGTTGTGAATTATATTCAATTAACTAATAGAAAATCACTGACATTGAAAAAAAGAAATATTTTGTCTGTTGAATAAAGTTATTAATGTTTTCTTCTATTTTTTTAGTTCCATTTGTAAATATATATTTATTGGATACTGTAACTGGTTCAGTAAAACTTTCTCATACACATAAACGTGTGAAATCACCAGTACATATTGTTCTTTCTGAAAATTGGATTGTTGTAAGTGAAAATAAATCTCAATTTTTAAATTCGTTATCTTTTTTTATTGATTAGTATACATATTATAATCAACGTTATCGTCGATATGAAGCTGTTAGTTCTTCATTATTCGAAGGCGAAGCACAATATAATTATTCAACATTTTCATCATTTGATCCAATCGAACCTGTTATACAATCTAAAGCATATATATTACCATATGGTGTTAATGCTATTCAAGTAACAACAACTGAGAAAGGAATAACATCACGAGATATAATTAGTAAGATGGAAAAATAAAAATAAAAAAATAAAAAAATAATAATTCTAGTGGCAACACCCAATGGAATGTTAATTGAAATTCCTTGGATATTATTTGATCCACGACGACCACTTGACTTAACTCCTATGGATAGGTAAAAAATATTTTTTTCACTTAATTCTTTATTAATCTAATCAAATAATTTCTTGTAGAGAAGAAGGTTTAATTATGTATACACCAGAAATTATGGTTAATTTCGAAAGTGTTATTAATTATTATAAATATGTTTATAATATTCGTGGTATACACACAGTTGCGACTGGTCTTGAATCGACATCTATTGTATTTGCATATGGACTTGGTAAGAATAAATGAAAGAAATTGTGTTTTATTTCTTAGAAAATAAATTTTGTAAATTTTAGATCTTTTTTTTACACGTGTTTTTCCATCTCGTATATTTGATCAATTAAAAGATGATTTTGATTTTATGATTATTGGTTGGTCAACAGTTGCATTCGTTGTTGGTTCTTTTGTTGCCAAACGTTTTGCTTCTATTCATCAAACAAAAAAAGCTTGGAAATAAAATTCTTTCATTCATTCATTCCAAAATCGACTCTTTTGAAAACAAAAAGTATTTGTTCTTGTTGTTTTTTTTTTCTACTTTGTGTTTATGTACAGCGACGGATTATGTTTGGTAGTCTTCAATTTGCGTTTTAAAAAAAGAACAATTCTACCATTAACCAGTTTCTGTTACTGTATGTATCGTTTGTTTTTTTGTAATCCTAGTTTTATTTCTAAAACATGAATCTCGGGAAAAACAAAAAAAAAAAGACAAGTTTATTGTTTGGATAGATCTACTTTGATTATTAGAGAAGTTGATGAATACGAGGAGGAGGAAAAGAAGATTATGTGTTATTCGTTTGTTTTTTTTTGCATTTTTTATATTTTCAAATAAAATTCATTAAATTTTTACATAATTACATATTTGATTTACTAACATTTGTTTTTTGTTTTTCTGTTTTAGATTATATTGAAAAAAAAATATTTATTTGCTTCAAAGAAAATGATAGGCTAGACTATACATTCTATCATGAATGTCATTTTACATCCGATGTCGATTCGTTATCTTCTTCGTCTTCTTAGATTTATATGTCGTAAGAAAATTATTGTTGACGTATCTCTAGGACTTCGAGGATCGTTTTCTTTCAAGGATGTTAGTTAAGATGAGAATATCAATGATCGCCAGCATAACATTTTCCTCCGATAATAATAAATATATCTGGTTTGTATCGATATTTTCTTGTTTTTTTTT